CTATTGAAAATCAGGATTATTTCTGCAATGTTTTTGTCATTGTTTTATTTTTTAACTAGAAATTGGTAGTGAATCAGACAAATAAGGATAACTTACTATTAATAGTGCTTAGTCTCTGTTCTGAGCATATTTATCTTAACAGCAGCCAGTTTAACACAGTGAGTTCATCTCAGAATGCTCACTTACATGCATTTTACTGACTAAACAATTCTTTGTATTTATTTGTAATTGTATTTGTAAATTACAAATAAATAAAAATTTTAAAATAATTGTAAAAATTCTAAATTTGTTGCAAAGATCATTGTTAGGTCTCAGTAGTCCATATATCTAGACATGAGCTCAATCTAGTCAATAGAAGGATTTCTGGCATAATAAAGAAATGTTAGATAAAAGCCTGTATTCTTCAGGAACTTGTGAAATGGTTCCCATTTGCCAAAAGTAGTCATTTTCCTCATCTTCATGGAAAAGGGACATACTGTGGTTTATCAGTATGTCCAAGTGCATGCTGGCCTCTAGGCTCCCTCAGTGACACAAGTCTCTGTGACACATTTCCAAGTCCATGCTGGCATTGTGCACTTCCCTGCCCCAGCTCCTAGTCCTCTTTATAATCTACATTATTTGTTCACTCCCCAGACACACACACGCTCTTTCATCTTTTGCTGTCTGTTCTCTATCTTTTGCTATCTTGATGTCCTCTATTCTTTCCTGCTCTCCTGCTTCCCTAACCTGTCCATGACCAGTCTTCTTTCCCTTTATTCTGGACTCTTCCAGATGCCGCCAGATATTTTGTCATATTAAGAGTAAAGTCTTCCCATGATAATGGAGTGGTCATGTGAGCAGTTTCTGTACTGTGCCCCCTTGTATACACTCGTGATATGTATATAACTTCTGAGTGGACACATGATTAACTCTTGTGTTGATATTTTTCCTAACTCTTGAGTTTTGCCTTTTAATAGTTAGCTTTCCTTTTTCATACTTGTCCTGGAAATTTTTGTTGCACATAACTCAACAAACAGTGAGCATATCCAGTACTGGAAAAGTGCAGTCTAGAGGAGGGAGGGAGCCAGCAGTTCTGATTGCTTTGGAACACAGGTGTGTTCTCACTAGTTCAGCGAATGTTACTGTGTCCCCTTCCTATAGTGTAGGTACTGAGCTCATTTTAGGATACTCTATAGCATTTAAGGCTTTAAAGTTTTCCAGCCTTAAATCTGGTTAAATCGTATTTATTTTCTGCATTGAAGAACAAAGTACATTGTAAAATAGATTATTCTTCCAAACAGATACAGGCATTAGTCTTAACATTTCTGCCCTATTTGGTTTTTTGTTTTGATTTTTTCTGTTTCTTTTTGTGTGTATGTGTGGTGTGTGTTGTAATCTTGTGTGTGAGCACATGAGTGCATGTGGTTGCTGCCAGGTAAGGCTTGTGCGGGACAGTGGTCACAGGGTACCTCCTGCCTCCTTCCAAGGCTAGGATTGCATGTGGCTGCTCTGCCTACAGGCATGTACATGGGTCCTCTGTTTGTGTGACAAGCACTAACCACAGGCCCTGCTGGCTCTTGTTCTCTGAAGGAAGTGTGTTGAAGGTACTGATCAATGATAGGAGAAAAGGTTTCCCCGCAGTTGCTTTCTCCGTTGTCCTATAAAATAAGTGTGCTCGTTCCTTCCTCAGTATGTTCATTACTTTCATTTTTGATTTAGGATTTTCTGCCGATTCTGGGCAAAGATGGCCACCAATGATGCTGTTCTGAAGAGACTAGAGCAGAAGGGTGCAGAGGCTGACCAGATCATTGAGTATCTCAAGCAGCAGGTTGCTCTTCTCAAGGAGAAAGCAGGTAAGAACATTTATACTTTCTAAGGAAATAACCTAAATTCTAGTAATGACAGCTAAATGTTTACTGTGTAAATTGTAACTTGAGCATTCTAATTATGGCTTTTAGATTCCTTTAATTTATACTTTACAAATATTGTAGGATTATGATAAATTAGAATTGATATATAGTAAATGACATGTTTTGCTTTCTGTTATGGTAAAATACCAAAAGTGACTTGATTAGGAAAGGGTTTATTTCAGCTTGCAGCTTTTAGTCTATCATGAAAGGAGGAGGCAGGAACCGAAGAGGAGGCCATAGAAGAACACTGCTTACTGGCTTGATTTCCATGACTTGCTTAATTTTTTTCTTGTACAATCAGGACCACCTGCCCAGGGGAGGCACCACCTCAGTTCAGACTCTCCCACAGTAATCATTAGTCAAGAAAATGTCCACAGTCCAGTCTGAGGAGGCTTTTCTCAATTGAAATTCACTTTATAAAATGATTGATTTTTTTTTTTCTTTTTCTTTTTTTTTTTTTCTTGTTCATTTTATAAAAATGATTGATTTTTTTTTCTTTTTCTTTTTTTTTTCTTTTCTTTTTTTGAGACATGGTTTCTCTGTGTAACAATCCTGGCTATCCTGGAACTCACTTTGAGGATCAGACTGGCCACGAACTCAAAGAGATCCACCTGCCTCTGCCTCCTGAGTGTTGGGATTAAAGGCATTCACTGAAACACCCAGTTTAACTTTTGTCAAAGACAAAAAAAACTAACCAAGGCAGTACATAAGTAATTTGAGAAAGTAATACAGTATTTTAGTACTGATAAAAGATGAGTCTATTGTTTAAAATTAGTTGCTGTATTATTAGAGGTTAATGCATAAAATTGGGAATATAGTGAAATCAAATATTAATAGTTTATTTTATGGGTCAAGATATGTTTTTCATATTCTTTATTCTTTGAGGTTTTTGAGAAATTGCTGCAGTGTTTACAAAAACTTCTAGTATTTGCCTTATGATTCTCAGTCTTCTTTCCAGTAATAAGGTAAAGAAATTGAAGGTGATCTCCGTGAACTAGTAAATATTGTAAATAAAATTTCCTTCATAAATATGGCTGTTTCAGTCAGTGCTCTGCAGCTGTGAGAAGACACCATGATCATGGCAGCCCTTATAAAGGAAAACACTTGATTGGTGCTAGCTTACAGTCAAAGGGTTAGCCCATTATACTTGTGGGGAGGAGTATGGTGGCATGCCTTCTAATAGTGTCACTCCCTATGAGCCAAGCATTCAAACACATGACTTTATGGGGGCACACCTATTCAAACCAACACATTCCAGTCCCTGGCCCCCTTAGGATTGATTCCATACCACTATGCAGAAAAGCATTCAGGCCAACTTAAAAAGTCCTCACTCTTAGTATTCTGACACACCTGCTCTGCCTCCTGGAGACCTGGCAGAGTATATCACCACTCAAACATCTTCATCTACATCTATGCCTCCTTTAAAAGGTGGAACCCCACCTGTTCTCTCCCTTTTTCTTCTTCCTTCCCTCATCCATCTTTCCCTTTTTCTCTCTAGCTCTCTGCCTCTCTCTGTACCTGTCTCTCTCTCCCTCCCTCTCCCTCCTTTCTTCCCTTCCTCTCTTTCTCTCTCTCTAGCTTTCTGCCTTTTTGTTTCTGTCTCTTTCTCCCCCCCCCCCCCCCCCCCCTTTCCCCCCCCCCCCCAATAAACTCTTCACATGAGCTGCTCTGTGTGGTGTGTCTGTCTCTCACCCACCACGGATTAGATCCAACTTGCCCAGGTTCCTCCTGCCCCATAACATAACATAATACCCACAGTCTGTAACAGTCTCAGACTTGTTTAAAAGTTCAAAGTCTCTTCTGACATTCATGCAATCTCTTAACTGTGAAATAAAAAAGCAAAATAAAAATATAAAATAAAAGCAAAATTAAAACTATAAAAGCTTTGCAAATTAAATAAAAAAGCAAAATAAAAAATATAAAATAAAAGCAAAATTAAAACTATAAAAGCTTTGCAAATTACCTACTTTTAACATTCAACGGCACAAGAAATTACCATTCCAAAAAGAGCATCATATGGAAATAGTGGACCAAAGCAAGACCAAAAACCAGCTGGACAAACTTTAAACTCTGCATCACCATGTCTGATGTCAAAACACTCTTCATATCTCCAAGTCCTTTTAAGTTTTGTTGACTACAATTCTGTCTCTTAGGGTTGTTCCAGTCCCTGTTAGAAGCTTTCCTCAGTAGGTATTGTTAACATCCAGGGACAACTTGGCCCCACCCCTTAGGGACCTGGTACAGTTTAAGAGACAAGCTCTGCCTACTCTACCCACCTCCTTCTCTTTCCCTTCTCTTTCCTTTCCCTACTCCTTTCCCTTCCCCTAGTAAAGCTTCTTTCCCATGTAGGTTCTGCCTGCATGCTGTATTTGTCTCTCACCCACCATGGGATGCGTACTCTAGGGTTCCCCTCCAGCCGCAAATCATATCATAACAGGTGTCCCATGGCTGTGGCATCTCCAGCCTTTTGGGGTCTCCAGGACAATTCAGAGTTTCACCTTCACAGCTTTACACTTGGCCTCTGTAGCCCTCCAGACAGGGATACCCCTGTCACATGCCTGGCCTCAGCAGCTTTCCTTAGTCATAATCCCTTTTTTCCAGCCTTGACTCTAAAGCTAGAACCTCTTGCCTT